TTTCTTTGTTTTTTTTTATATTAAATGTCAAGAATATCGAGTCCTAATGAACCAGATTAAAAATAAAATTTGATGAAGTGTAGCATTTACCTTTCATAAAAATTTATCTTTTTGAAAATAATAATTAAAATGATAATCTTTAAATAATTGAAAAAACTCTATTTTTATTTGATTAATCAATCAATAAAAATGTATCATGTCCTTAATATGTACATATTTTTCTTTCTTTTAAAGATTGATATTTCTACCTACATCATGACTCATTATGATCTTCATTTAAATTCTTCATAGAAATTGTTAGAAGTAAGATTGAGCCAAATTAAGAGTAAATTTCTTAAAATTGCTGGTCCGAAATATTTTTAATTTATTAACTATTGCTATCTTCAATAACAATATGATGAAATGTGGTAAATTTTTAATGTAATTAAAGATCATAAAATTTAATGTGAGTTTACTTAAACTGAAATAGAAATAGCAAAATAGAAAATCTTAGATAAAAATTTACGTCTATGCCTTACAAATTAAAATCTTATCTAATTTAAAATTCCATGAAACATTAATCCGGTAAGCACAACATAAATATATTAATAGATAGACTTTAAATATTTATTTCAATTACCTTTAAGAGCTTTTGCTAAAAAAATTAATAACGAAAAATCTGATTTTCAGTTAGCAAAAAAGCAAGAGTGCAATGAACCAAATGTAATAAATTTTTTGTATTATCGTTCATGCATTAAAAATAGCTTCATAAAAATTTCCTTCTCGAATCTTTTGTTGCGCAGTTATCAAAACTCATTTAATATTCATGGACGCATTTTACATCAATTTATTGTTTTTGTTTCGTGATAATCGTTATAAATAAAAAAAAGATAATAATATTTTCTTAAAATATCAAAAGCTTTTTATAATTTGGAATCATCCGAATCATCTATTTATAATCACGAGAATAATATGGTTTACTGATAATTTTGAGTTTTAAAGGAAAAAGAAGATAAGTTGACAGTGAAAAATTTAAGTAAACTGTATGTAAATGAGTTAATGCAGTTATTTTAAAGATCAATTCAGAATATAAAGCAGCACAACATCCAATAATATTATTAAAATTTTTAAATTGTTATTTATTCTTATAAAATAAAATTCTTATAAATCTTATTTAATTAAACTCCTTCCAAATATTCTCTTTGAAAGAAAATTGGATCCAAAACTTTACATTACATTTTCATTCATGAAAACAAATTCTCCATCTCTTACAATTAAAACAAGAGAAAAGAATCCAAAATGAACATCATTGGTTTTGAAACGCAAGCGTTTCAATTAAATAAACTTTTTGCTCCTTTTTTATAATATGCTTGGAAATCTCTGAAACATTAACCTGCATATACGATGTGTACATCTCTCTATTACTGTTGAGACTTAGACACAAGACGAAGAAGTTATCAATGCAAATTTGTTTGTTTAATGTTACGCTAGAAGAAATTTTATTTAATTTTCTACGACATAAAAATGAGTTTTCTTCTAAAGCGCTTTTTATCTCTCATCTCTTACTCCTCTGTTGTTTGTAAATTTTACTGGATGAAAAAAAAAATCCTCTTTTAGTAACTTTTCATTTATATTCAATACTAAATATATGCTTAGGAATGAGAAGATGATGATGATAGAACAATAAAAAAAGCCTTAGAACATAAAGATAAATCCATGAGCAATAAAAATAAAGACTGAAAGATACAAAATTAGTAAAATTTCTTGATGCGAATTCGACTGCGACAATAAAAAGAGTAAAGTCTAAACGACACAAAATTATTTTTTGCTTCCTAACAAGTCTTAATAGATAATTTGCTTCATATGATGATGAATGCTATTTCATTATTTTTTCATGATTAAAATCGCAATTAAATAAATTAGGCGGAGAAGCTCCTCCTTCGATTTGTGGTTTTTGCATATTCATTGCTACAAGAATAATTTGTTGTACAAGAAGCTTCAGAAGACTTTTTGACTTTCTTTTCGCTAGTATCATTAGGGGCCATTCACTTATTACGTAACGCTTTTAGGGGGAGGGGGGGGCTAAGATTTTGTTACGATTCAAACAAGGAAATTTTTTTTTCATACAAATTTTGTTACGAGGGGGGGGGGGGGGGGGGGGGGTCTAAGAAGTCATTTTTTCGCGTTACGTAATAAGTGAACAGCCCCTTATGGAATCATAAATTTACTATGTTTCAGGTGTGGAGTTTTTCTTATGAATTGCAAAACTTTTATGAAAAATTTTATGAAGAGTAACAGATTTATTAAAGACTAGTTCCAGGACAAAAACTGATACGACAAACAACATGCTACAATTTTATTATCTAGCAATATTTTTGAATTAATTACAATTTTATTCTAATTACTGTACTTGGCATTTTTCTTTTGCTAAAATTTTAAATTTATTTGATTCACAGTGTAATATAATCTAATTTTCCATCCATTCTCGTCGATAAAGAAAAACTGAGAAAAACAAGAAAAAAAAGTCAAATAAAAGAAAGTTTTGTTCAGATCTAATATTTCCTTTTAACTTTTTTTTTGAAGAAGGAAAGGAACAATGTAATAAAATTCAAGATGAATAGTACCTTAATAAAATCTTGTACTTTAATTATCGACATTCAAGCGTTGATGAAAGTCAAGCTAAAGATGTGCCTTCCAAAATAATCGGATTACTAATTATAAGGAAAAGTTCTTCGATGATCAAACTTTGTCATTAAAATCCATAAGTGCATAAAAAACTTTGTCTGCGTGTGTTAATAATGAAAAGAACAGTAGAAGAGGAAAATTAATAATAAATCGTAGGCAACAGCAGAACGACATAACTTTAAAGTTCTACATCTTTGCTCTCTCAATTATTCGTCCCACGTGAGGTAATTTAGTTGAAAATCTCTGCACGAATAAATTTACCTTCCTCCTTACTCCGCTCTGATGTCTCCTATTTCAGTTCAACGTAAATGAGTAAGTTTCGGTAAGTCAGTGAATAATAAGATTTCTTCCTTGCAAGTGTCACGTAGATTTCAGTTCCTTAACATTCCGTTTTTACTTCTTTTATTGCTCTTTTACTCAACCGTACCATTATATAATTAAGTAATGTCTCTCAGATTAGAGATTTATGAAGACCGAGAAAATATTCGTAATACAGACTTTGTTATAGGGTCTAAACTAGAATAAAACTGTCAACAGCATCTTCATAAAAATTTGGAAATTTTACATTGTTTAACTCTCGTCATGTGTAAATAGCGTAAATATTCACACCGTAATCACATCAAATTTTTTGAGGAAATGGAGCAAGATAGCTGAAAATGATTGATTGAGGAATTACTGAGAAAATCGTAAAATACGCTTTCTGAGTGCAAGCATGCAAGTTAATCGGCAGAAAATCTTAATAGCCAGTCATCGTAGAGACTTCTGGTTCTTGCATTTGATTCGGGTTGTCTTATAGTAAATAGTAAAACTAAATTTTACTTTGATTTTCGTTGAAATTCAACTTTGAATGGAAAAATTAAAAAGCTTTTTATTAAATTGAACTATCAAAGACTGTAAGGTTTGTTGAAGACTCTGATCGAAGATAGTAACTTGAGTCAAAAAATTTATTAAACTATCAAGAAAGAACGTTGTGTTAGAGTCTGATCTATTTAAGAGATTACACAGTCTATTATTCAAACTTTCAATGTCAATGTTAAATCCCTGATGCATTTGATGAATAGTTTCGAAATTTAAAAAAGATTTCACATTTTCATGTTTATTGGCCTAGGGATTTTTTAGGATTTTTTAGGATTAATCCTGAGTTTCCACGCTTTGATCTATATTGAGTTCCTTTGCAGAAATTATTTGTCCATTTTGTTCTCGTCACCCTACAAAATTCTTCTTGGTTCATTTAAAAACAAATTCAACAATTTAATTCTAAATTCTCTTTCAATTGGCAAATGAAATATCTTTCAAAACCACAAAAGCATGAAAAAAGAAAAATTGTGTTTACTTGAAGTACAAAAAAACCAAAAAATAATTTTAATGACAGAATTAATTTTCATTAAGAATTGTTTGTAAATAATTATTAACCATACCTCTACCTCTCAATCCCCGATAATACACATTGTTTAAAATAGAAGCAAATAACGTCATTATGAGATTATAAAAATGCGAAGAAAATGGGCGTTGATGTTTTTTATCCTTATATGTATCTGTATTTTCGATATAAAATAGTATAGAGATCCATTAATCGCGCTGAGGTGAAAGACATATGACTGCAGAATCGTGACAAGACTTTAGAATTTTATCGTTTATTCGCTTAGAATACTTTTCCCCAATTTTTTTCTTTTCTTTGTTCATTTAAGAATTAACAAATTATTTTTATTTCCATTTAATTCGCGTCTCGAAGAAATTTCTCATTCTGTTGTGAGGTAAAGTGAAGAAAAAAGCAGCTGAAGAATATGAATACACATGTAATGTATTAACAAAACGTAAGGCGGAATTGTAAGATATTGAGAAAAGAAAAATGAGCTGCAAGGGAGTTTATGCAAACAGTATTCTATAGAGAAGAGGGAGTAGACTGTAGGGTACTGATACTATAATGTTGTAAAATTAAGTATTGAAAAGTTTGTAATTTTAATCATTACTAGACTTGATCAACAATTAGCTTAAAGAGATTTGGAAGAAATTTTTAGGGTTTCGTAGTGTCCACTCCTAAAGCAGAAAAGGCGAGAGATATAAAACGAAGAAATGAATTGAAATTTATAAACAGCTGTCTAAGACATTCGCTTTATACCTTATTAAACTTTATTTCCTTTCTTTTACCATAAATTATTGTTTTCAAAGTTCATTTTTACAGCGTTTTCTTTTTTTGCATCATAATTCACGAGCGTGGTAGATAAAAATGAAAAAAAGAGTGAGAGAAGTACTGAAAAACGGAAAAAAGTCACAAAAAAGTTTTTCATTATTTTTAACACGAAAAAAGAAATCTTATGAAAGCGGAAAATATTTTTCATCCCTTAAATATTTTCCTTTCGCAATGAATGTTTTTATATCTATATGAATTTATATCTAGTTTTATCATAAAGTACACTGTGTACACTAAGTTAGTGGAGTGCAATGCACAAGAAAATCTAAGATAATTTTAGAATTAAAAGGAGTTTTTATGCTGATTAATAAACTTAAGAGAAAACTTTTTTATGTCTTGTGTACATAAAATTCTATTAGAAATTGTTGCAATATAATATATTTGATATAAGTTGGAAATAATTGTATTTCTTTTCCTTTTTCGGCGTCTTTTACTGGTTGAATTTACTTCGATAGCATTGCAAAAAATTTATCAATAAAATCTTAATTAACTCAATTGACCCAAAAACCTTATGCATGTTTTGCATTTGAAATTTGATTTTAAAAAATATGTTGAATAAAACATTGTAGCTACTCAATTTAACAAAGATGTCATATTCTTTTAATTTAAAATTTTCAAGTGGACAAATGGAAAAATGGCAATTTTAAATCTTAATCTTAATCTTAAAGATCTGCTTGAATTTATTAATCAGTTTAATCAAAAAGAATTTCCGTCAGTGCATATCAACATGTAGTCTCTCCTATCCTTCTCTCACTTATTTATATCTTTGAATAGTAAAAGTAAAGGGACAAAGAATATTATTGCACAATAAAGTAGATAAATACTAAAATATGTTAAATTTAATTGTAATTAATGCTCATAAAATGCGACAAACTGATATTTTTGTTCCGTCATTACTTTTTCTTTCTCGTCTCCTTTTTTAATGTTATTTTCGTTTCTGCTTATGCTTTAGTAATAAAATTTATTATTCTTTATCGGTAGCTTAAGTCCGCTGTATTTTGGTGCATTAACGATAATCTTGAATGTACATCGTGTCTTATACCCAGCTGCATCGCGTGCCTCATAAATTATCTGATGACTGCCAAGACCGAAGAGACTGCCTGGAACCTATTATCGTCATAGATTTTCGGATCAAAGTTGCGTTTGTTTCATTTTAATTTGTTTATTTTAGTTTTTATGTTTTTGGCGCGTGCATAGAAAAATGATAAAGGAGAAACAAAAGAAAAGGAAGCAATACAATATTTTTAATTAAATTTTCATTATACATTAACAGCGCACAACAAGCTCCCTCATTCACTTATTATTGCTTCATGTTTTCCTCCCTAAATATATATTTATGAACCCTCAACTCACATTTGTTTGTGTAACATCGGTAACTTTCACATTATCAGAAAACTTGGGTTCAGTCCAAAATACGTTGATACTCTCATGGTGCTTCTCTATTTTATGCTTTTGTAATGGTGGGCAATATTCAACGACTGGCATTTCACCATCTTGCATGAATTGGATAGTAAAATAAAAATAGAAGAGAAATTACAATAGAATTGAAATTAATTACCCCAAAAATGATTTTTTTTTTCTCTTTACAGTTCCTTTTTTTCTATTATATTATGTTTCATTTATTCATTGTAAATATTTTATACCATACCAAACTGTATAACTTACCGACAACAAACAATGTGGTCGTACAAGCAACTGTAAGCTTTGTAATAGGATGTCTTGCTGTGTATGTTATGTTCAGTACACCCAAACCGAGTACAATTTTATCCACATTCTTGATCCATAATGGCTTAATTGTTACATCACGTTTAAAGTTCACGTCTGTCTTTGGCTTTTGTAATTTTACCTCTACCTTTTCGTTATTCGGTGGCAATTCAACGATCTGATTCGATGGGCAAATTAACTTTGGAGTTGGATATTCTGTGGAGCGTATAAGAAAATGTGCCAATTACACAAAAAAATGAAAACATTATTTTTTCTCTTACTTATACAGATTCCATCATCTAGGCCATGCCATTCACCATCTTTACCGCATGTCTTTAGGTATGTCCCCGAGGTACGAAAACTTTTTTGTGTTTTTTATTGTAAGAAATTTAATCACGTTGGAAGCAAAATAGCAGAAATGAAATAAATTTTTTTCTTTCATAGAAAATGAAGAAATGAGAATATGTATACTGTACAATAAGGATTTTTCACTGTGATGAATAATATGTCATAGAATGAAAATGGTAATTAATTCCGTTAGATTAATTTCGGGCAATAAAATTGTAATTATAGTCGTTACATCATAATGATTAAATTACAAGAAAGACTTGAATATCAATTATATGAGAGACCATCAATTTATTAATTAGTTCCGTGATAGCACAATGTCATTTGCTAAAATAAATATGTTCTTACCCAATTTATACGGAAAATTAATTTCTGCCCATTGATTTCGTGTTCAATATCTTAAGTTATCTTAAGTTAAGTTAGGCCTGTTTTTTCAATTTTCGAGAAATATTTTAACTTCAGCTTTATTTTTAATACTTGAATATGTCGAACCGACTTAAACTAAGAATTAAAATTAATTTAATGGCAATTTTATATGATTTTAAAGTATATTTGATCTCACACTGTGATGAATCCTAATCATTTATTTATACTGCTCAAACCAAGCATTATTAAACCATAAAAAGAGAAAATGTACCTTGCTGGACACCGGAGGATGCATTGACTCCCCGGGCGATTTGTAACAATAAGACGTCCAGTTGTATTTGAATTATCCAATGGTCTCGTACATTCAAGATAACCATGAATTGGTGGAAATAATGGTGAACAAGCCACTGTACTTGCTTTGAATTGATTTTCCATTGTTGTTTCATTCTTCTGTTTCTGCACTTCTGTGTTTGATGAAAAAAAAAATTTTGCTTAAAAATTAGGTTGAATTTTCATTGTATTTTGCAATTAAATCAAAAATACTGCAAGTGAATAATGTAATGTTAAGGTAGAGAGAGCACAAAAGTCTCGTCCTCACGAAATTTAAATTTAAGTGTCTTGAAAAACTCACTCATTTATTGTCTGACGAAAGCACTTAAGCTTATTGAAGACTGAAAGCTATCGATTATTGAAGTACTTTAATATAATTCTCATGTTCTTTATTGACGTTCAAACTAAAAAACATGCAGTAGATTGAATTCAATAATCAATAGAAAATTTTCTATAAACTAATGGAAATTCAATTCCTTTATGAAGCATGAATTGAACAAAGAATTTCAAATACAGCTTGAATAAATGATTTTTTTTTAAGTTTTTATGTTCACTTAACAACTTCTGAGTTGTCTGAATATAAATGACTTTTGTGAACTTGGCGTAGCATTCAATTCGTTTTGTGTAACTTTGGGAATCATCTTTTTTTTTCATATTTCAATAATAATGACAATAATGTCATTCTTTATTGAAGAGACTGAATTAATTAAAATTGATATCTTTACATTTTTTTAAATCTATTATTTTTTCTCTCTCTACAAAGGAAAAAGCCCCCTTAACTAGTACTTAAACTAGTTAAAAAGGCATAAAAAATCTTTGTAGTTTCTGAAAGTCTTCTTAAATCTAAGTGCGAGAATAAAACCGTTACATTATATATATACAAAATTAATATATATATATATATATATTATATACAAAATTTAATACATTCAGTAACTTATGAATAAAATTCAAAAGCAAAATCTGATTTCACAAACGACAAACAACATTCGCAAAATGTACTTTAGTGTTCCATGCTTTACAAAAAAATTACAGAAGTCCTCGTGTTATTGATCGAGGGACTTAAGCGCATTTTTGTGATAGCAATCAGTTTTTGATTATCTAAGTATTTTGCGTTCAATTACAAATCATGAGAAGATTAGAAGATCATTAATTTTAGTGTAATTAACATATAATTACAATGAATGCAATAAATCAATGTCAATAAATATTTGAAAATTTTCCCGCTAAAAGTTCCATTACAAAAGTATTAATTATAGAAAAATTAATAATTTGTTGCAATGAATTTTCATACACAAAGGGTTTCTCATTTAAGGGTTTTTTGAAATTCAAGTTTTACAACGGCTAGAAAAAAATTGAAATTATAGAGGGGAAATGTTGAGTATTAAACGTACTTATCACGTGTTTTTGTTAATGATATAAAAAAATCAAAATTTATAGTATAAATACATTATTTAAAGACTTTTAAGCATTCGATGGGCCGATAAATCGATAGTAACGGAGATAATAAAAAAACGATAGCTCTCTACGATGTCTGGTTAAAAAATTTTTCTTCGCCCGAGCAGCCGAACAAAGCGTATGATTAAGCTATCAAAAATGTGTTAAAAAACCAATACTCACCAATGCATTTGTATTTATCATCTTCTGATAGCACGAAGCCTTTATGACACGAACAAAAGAAGCTACCATTTGTATTTACACAGGTCCCATTTGAACAATTTCCGTTGTCTATTTCACATTCATTTATATCTAGATAATAATGAGAATGAAAAGAAAAAATCATCTAATAATGGAAGAAGTAGGAACATTAAACAAGTGCCATTATTTTCGCTACTTTTTTCCTGCCTTTTCCCATTAAATTGGAATCCCTTTATTTAAGATGGTGGTAATATTCTTAAAAGATTCTGACAGAATAGAAGTTTTTTCTATTCCACCTCTCATTTTCACCAAAACAAGCATGACAAAACAAACAAAACAAACAAAAAAAAACAAAATTAAAGAAGAACTGTAAAGAAAAATGATGATGCCATAAAGATCATGACCCAATTATCATAGTCATTTCTTGTGTCTTGGGTTACACAATGACTTCAAATTCACATGTGGATATTCTCATTTCATATTCATACCTTGACAATCTCCAGCGGTCTCATTAAAATAAAATCCATTCAAACATTCTGATACACAACTTGCACCATCAATGATATCATAATTCCCATCCGTATCATCACTGTCGTCATGGCTGATCTTTCTGATCTTATAATTATTTTCATCATTTTCATCGTTTTCATCAGCATTGTTCTGAATCATGTAATCATCGAAATCGTTTGAGAAAGGCTGATCTGCAATGATATCATGTACACATTTGTACGATCCTATTGTGTTAATACATTCATAATTGCATCGATTCTCAAGTTGTATTGATTCTTGTAATTGACATTCATCAACATCAATGCACGTCTTCCAATCAATGTCGAGTTTAAATCCCAGCGGACATGAACAAAATGCTTGTCCTAATTAATTGAGTCAAAAAATAAACATGATCATAATTCAATTATTTTGTCATACACATGCCTTTTGAAAAATCATTTACCGATTGTACTATGACATGTATGAGAACATCCACCATTGCTGATTGTACATAAATCAATTTCCTCACAACTGTGACCGTCTTTTGATAGTTGTGTGCCTTTAAGATTTTCACATGAGCACGTGTAGCCCCCGAGACTATTAAAACATGTGTCTTGACATGGTCCATGACCGCCACGCAGCAAGCACTCGTTTATGTCTATTGATGTCATATCATGTAGATGAGAAGGAAGGATGAAAGGAAATTATATTGATATAATTGTACATGTGTGAATTTCTTATGTCAAAAATGTTGTTGCTACATATCACAAGAATAGATGAAATTAGAGTAAACAAAAATTCTTAAAGGAAAGGTAAATTTTATTTCAAGATTTCTTACATTTTAACCATTTTAATAAACTAGGCATGATGAAGGTCATAAAAGCTATCTGACGATGACATCAGATACATTTTTAGGGTTAAAGATAAAATTTTCTTACAACTACGATAGGAAAATTTGTTGTTCTTTAAACAATGAATGTAGTGTAATAATATCTTGAAATCTAGCAACTTTTTTAACTTCCAGGTATTTGGAATTTAAAACTTTAAAGCAAAACAATTTACTGACAAATACACCTAGCCCAAAATTTCTCAAAATAAAAGACTTCTAAGTCATAATAATTTACTTTTGAAACCACACAAACCAAAACAGCGGGAAATTAAATGCAAAACAAAAAATGTATTTTTGTTTGCATATTTAAATAAAAACATAGTAATAAGCTTTAAGACTTTATATTATTTAGAAATTTGCAGATAAATTTTATTGCATTTCTTTCTCAATTCCATTTTAAAATAAAGCCTTTCTTTGTAGCTTAAAGGGAAAAAAATCTTTACCAACACATTTTCCAACATTGTCTAATTGAAAACCTTGCTGACATAAGCATTTGTGTGCTCCGACTAAATTGATACATTTTCCATATTGCCCACATTCATTTGGATTCTTCTCGCATTCATTGACATCTGTAGATAGACAGAATTTAGTCGAAAATAAATCGACAAGTTTATGGTGATTAAATAGCGAGAATAAAAAAATTCATATAAACTTTTCCTGACAATTAAGAATTGAAAAAATATACAATTTACCGAAACATCGGGTGCCAATCAAATGGAATCCTTTATGGCACTGACACTGCACTTCCGTTCGATTTCCGTTTTTAATGCATAATTGCTCACATTTTTGAGCTTCATAACTGTCACATTGTTGCATTTTCAATTCTGAGCGATTTTCCTCAGTATGAGTTTTTCGACACAATGGCCTCTGTCCAATCCAACGATGCTTTTTGCATACTAAATTTTTATTTCCAATTGCTATTTTTGCGCGTTTGGACTTTTTAATTAATTTGTAGCCATCGTGGCAATGATATTCTGCCTCTAGAAAACTTCTCTCAATTCCCATCATTTCATTCCTATTTGATTTGTGAAATTAAAAGGAAATTTAAAAAATGACAAAAAATGGTGATGATTTATTAAGACTACCGAATATATTTGATGTCAGCATTTGCAATTCGTGGTGCTTGAATGAATTGAGCTTTCATGCATGATAAATCTCCAATAATAAATTTTCTTTTTCGTTTTCTTCCACTTCCTTGCTTTGAATGTTTATTGATTTTAATTTCATTTGTTTTATTCTTATTTCCACTACTGCTACTGCTGCTCTTCTTCGTGACTTTACTCTTGATTTTAAATTCATCATCGTTATTTGAATTTAAACTTTCCATTTTAACACTCCTCGCCTTATTCAAATCTGTATGAGGATGTGAGAAAAACTTTTGTTACCTAATCATATTAATACTCTACACACTATATACAACCCGCTCACTCACATGAATCGGATAGATTTTTCAATGCAAAATGAAAAAATTATTTGTGAAATGTGAGAAGGAAAATTGTGAATGAATTGCAAATTGAGTTAATCGACTTGAACAAGTTGCAGGCATTCAATCTCAATTTAAATATTTGAATTTGATGTTTAAATAATTTTCTTGCATTTTAAATAAATTTTTGAGGAAATCTTTTTCATTCGTCGAATGAATGCTCAACTGACTTAAGATTTAAATGATTTTTAAATCTTTTTTTTTTTTTGTGAAAATTTACCTTGTCGATTTATATCCACATTTACGTTATTATTCACAATCAATTGTTGTTCATTTGTTGACTTATGCAATTTCGGAACTAAATTATCATCGTCCTTTTGTACAAACTCATTTTCACTTTTAATATTCCATAAATTTACATCACTTTTACTAATAAAATTATTATTATTATAATTATTATTTTTATTATTAGTATTATTGTCGATAACTGCTTCTATCATTTCCATCACCACTGCATCTACCGTTGTTATGGAAACTGTTGATGTTAAATGTGATATTGGTGATTTATTCGAATTATCATCACCATTTTCATTATAATTAAAATTATTATTCACTATTTTTAAATTATTTTCATCTAGGATAAATTAAAATCAATGAAAATGGATTGTTAAAAATAAATAAAGTAAAAATAATCGAATAAATTTAAATTAATAGAATTTTAACTTAAAATTCAGTCTCTTTAATATATGAAAAATAAGCTCAAAATGTTTGAATTCCTCTTTGAAAATATTTCCGTCAAAATATAATTAATAACTTACAGTCTTTTCTCGATGTCTTCAGACTAGAAGTGGTCATAGAAACATTTGAGACAGTCTCATAATTATTTCTTCCTTTACTGTCTTCCTTATCATATCTACTGAAGTTTTCATTTTTTACACCACGTTCTTCCTCGTCTTTTTGTTGTTGTTGTATTTGTGAATGCTTTCGTTTCTTCTTCCTTTTTCTTTTATTTGAAAATGTTTTTCTTTTTCCGTCTGACGATTTCTTTATTTTACTTTGTGTGATTCCATTTTCATTGTTTATTTGTGACTCAATCTGCAGTTCTGCTGATTGTTCTGGAGCTTTTATAACTCTTTCATCTTCTTGTGTTTTCTGTATAAGTTTTTCTAATTTTGTGTTTCTTATCCTATTAGAATAAAAAGAACCTTTGAAAAAGTATTCAATACACTTTGAAATATATTAAAATAGAATTCATCAATAACGAATGCATTAAAAATGAGACATATTTTATAAAATAAATTGTTATTGTATCTTATTTTATCCAGCATCTTATTTTTATCAACATAAAACTTTTCATGATCACGAAGTTCCATGTCCTCATTGTCAAAGCCATGAAGCAAAAAATTATATTTAAATATTTTGTGAATGAACTTTGTCGTAATGCTTTGACACTCATGAAATCCACTGGAAGATTAATGTCCCTCCTAATATAAAGCTAAATACATTTTTTCCATGAGTAGAAAGAGAGCACTTGGCTTTGACTTGAACTTTACGCTCTCTCGCTCTTTCTCTCTACGTTCTTGCTTTCATATGCAATGTCCTTTTGTATTCATTTTGAGCTTACTGAATAATGCATGGAAAATGGAATGAGGTTTTAGAAATAAGCGAGAGAGAATAATCCAGAAGGGACATCCATCTCTTGTTGTCCATCAAATTATTTGAAAATCAAGCTGTTGCTGTCAATGCTTTATACTGAAGTTGATAATATCATGAAATGTTTTTTATAAATTACATAAAATCACGATTTTAAATTCAAAGCAGTTCTAGATGCTTTTCATAAGTGACTGTGTTGTTCGTGAAAATGACTCACTTGTTAAGATTGTATGTGAGTAAAAAAAAAACGCAATTTGAGCATCATATGAAACAGTTTAACATCCCAAATGGAAATTCGACTCAAATAAATATTTCATTTCTTTTCCCATACCCATCCTTTTGCTTAATATGATGATATTATTCTCATGTGTCTGAGATCGTTTAAATTGTGAATGAGCCGGAAAGACAAGTGAATAAGCTATGAGGTGTAAATGTTTCTAATTTCTGAATCAACATTCGTGCTTTTGAAGCTAGTGAATCCATGATGAGCATCATTCTCATTTTTTTTATTTTTATTATTTTTTTATGGCTTATAATGTAGGAAATGAGAAATGCTTTGAGGAAATAAAAGAAAATATGAAACAAAAAGAAAGTTTTATATTTATTGTGTCTGACTCTATTAAAATATCTTTACGTTGCTAGCTGACAATTAAATAAAGAACAATACATGTATATGAACACAATAACAACTTAAGTCAATTACTTTGATTTCATCTTACCTCATATCATTTTCTTCAGCCTCTGTATTCTTTAATTTCTTGAGACTAAACAGCTTTTTCAAATAAATTTCATTTTCTTCGTGTTTCTGTGTGTTTGTTGAGGAACTTTTTATCTCATTATAATTCAATCCTTCATCCTCATCGTAGACATTTAATTCATTATCTGATGCAGAATCAGAAGCACCTGAGAAAATATGGAAAAATATTATCTAAATTAATTTTTTTCCTCATTTCTTAAAATTTTTAAAGAAAAATTTCCATAACTTCTTGGCTTTGAATTCATCATCAAATGATTTTGATGGGAGGTATAACAAATAACAAAAGAAAATCCAACCCAATAAGATTTAAAGAATTATAAATGTCTTTTAATCAGTTTTGTGTAAAGCTTTCTTTTGTGTGTGGTTGCAACTCAAAGATTTGTGATAAAAAGGAGATGAAAAAAGGTTGTAAAAAGATAAAAAATAAAATAAATAGCTTGTGACTCTTTTCTTTTAGTCATGTGTCGCTGTTATTGCCTCGCTTCTTTAAAACTCCTTCTGAGGTTGCCTAACTCCTCGTCATTTACACACTTCTTTATTCTCATCAAAAATCACCACAAAAATTTTGTATTTCTCACTGTTGAATTTCACAGAACGTAGAATAAAAGGCATAATATTCATGACTATTAAACGAAAAGAAAAAAATTGTCAGTTTAAAAAGTAAAATCTGTCTGTGAGTGTGGAAATCAAGATGAAAAGCAAGAAAGGGGTTAAATCATAAGAAAAAGGCGAAGATGAATAAAGAGTAAAACTGAGGTGAAGAAAATGAGCAAAATTTCAAAAAAATTGATGCATCATAAAAGAATGATGATGAAAATTTAACACACAATTTTTTACTACATGCGAATATGAAGATAAAGAAGAAACAAAGACACCGGCATTGAAAAGAAAAGATTTTTGTATAAAAATACTTTAAAGCTTCCTTGACACATGTAAAACACACACTGATGGCTGCATAAGGTAGTTGAAAAATGAGATTTTTGGTTTGTTCATGAAATTTTACTTCAAAAATGTTTTTAGCACAACATAAAGTTATGTAAGAATGAAAGGATTCATTTATTGTTATTTACTTATTTGTTATTTACAAAAAGGAAAGAGAAGAAAATGAAGGGCTGTAAAAAGGAAAGGAAAGATTTATTTCAAGGTAGATAAAGTGGAAAAAGTAATTTACCAAAAATATCTCTTATCTTCCTTCATTTACTTACTATTTAAATTTTTCATTCAGTATTTATTCTAGATATGAAAAACTTATGATGTGGTTATCTCTATTTTTAGGGTTGAAATTTTGGAGAATGTATAATTCATTGTTATTTCGATTATTTCTATTTTGAATTTGCTTAGAAGCTATACAGACCTAAGACGGAGAATAAAAACACAACTGCATTAATTTACATCCCGTCTAGTTTTTAGTTAAAAGTCTCTGTATTATTTTTGCAACAACTCACAAGATGTATAAGTTTAATAACACTTGGGGTGCTCTAATAAAAAGAGAAAATTTCTGTAGATTTCAAAGCAATCATTTGATGTGAGCTTTTTAACATCAATTATTTTAATTGGAAAAATGTGTCTAAAAAGATTATTACTATTACTTTGTATGCTAAATTTCACCATCTCACAAATTAAATTATTTTAACATAACTGAATATTTTCAAAAAATGCCAAAATTTTAATTATGTGCACATTTAGTACAAAAAAGCTTATTCACCCTAAACACAGAAGAAAAATACTTGAACTTAACAATTAAATTAATTGAAATTCCGTTCACATCGATCAAGCATCATTAAAAGTTATTTTTCTCTTTATTCGCTGAAATAATTTCATTTTAATTATAACTTTCTAAGTTTCGTGTCAAGGCATATTGCACTCAATCTGTTCTTTTATAATCATTGTTAGTGCCTTCTCCGGGTGATTATCATCAATAAAAATTACAAATTTATCATATCCATTAATTTAAATATAGAAAATAAGTCAAGAAGAATGATTAGCAACAGATGTGAATTAATTGAAGAAACGACGGTTATGCTGGATTACCACAAAGCAAGCTTGTTACACTTTCTTATTGTCACAAAATTTCCTTCGTCTAATTTGTGATTATAATCAGCTTTCGAAAATGGAAATTTTTCAACAGATTCTTGTTAAACTTACCACCAATATTGACGATGTAAATAATCGAAAATAAATTAATCCAAATTAGATTGATTTTCATTTTTCCAAGATTTTCACTTTTCAGCCTATTTTTATTTTTATGCTTAATTTCACTCCATTTTTATTAAATTCTTTATGATACACAGTGTACACCAAAATATTTATAAATTTTTAAAAAATCACATCAAAATGTTTCTTAAAAAAACTTTTTTAATTTGTTATACTTTTGATTTAATTTAAGCCTTTGCGTCAGAAATAATTTTTTCCATTAAAAAATTTCAAAGCAAATTTTTTGTGATAATTTTTCGTGTCAACAAAACTTGTTGATTCTGTTCCACTTTCGCAAAGAAAAGGAATAAAATATAAGAAAAATATTCGAAAAGAAAAATTGGATATGCAGCAAACTTTTTTATTTCTTTCTCTCACTTTTCCTTTTTGCCTTCTTTTGAAATAATTTTTATCTCTTGTTTGTTTTTCAAAAAAAGGAAGACAAGACTTTCCTTAATGTGGACTTAATTTAAATTTATATCTTTTTTAATTTTTTAACTCGTAAATCGTTTTATAAAACTTAGGTATTGTTTCTTCCATTTTTGTTTGTGATTGCCACTCGTCTCGATAACAAACTTTTAAACATAATCATCAGTTACAAACTGTTTCAAAACTTTTCATATCTTAAGAACCTAGTCAGTCAGTTCTCATCAAAAAAAGTTTTGATCTTCTTTAAATTTTTTCCATCTCACAATTTAATTTTTCATAGTCAGCGCGAAACTTTAACAGACCTTGTTTTATTTTCATCGTCTAGATTTCATGAAAGCTCACGACGAACTGAGAATGTTTTGAAAATTTTTTGACTATCATCTTTTTGTGTTGTTGCAGCTTCTCAATGCATTAAAACATTCAAAAAAAAATTTTTTTTTGTTGCGAAAACATTCAAGTTGAACAATCAACATTGCAACACTACTAAATTATTCTCTCAATTATTTTCCTTTGATTTCCAACAAAAACCGCATGATTTAATCCTTTTTAATTTAAATGAAAGTTTCCCTTTCCTTTTTCATTCAGTCTCTTTCATCCATAACACTCATCTTTTTAATTTAATAAAATTTAGATTATATTGCGTATAATGGACTAATGCCTTGCGGTACGATAAGGTTTATTTCGTGATTTTCTTTAATTTTCTCATTCAAACAAAAAATGGATTTTGAAAGAGATCAAAATTAATTTTCAAGCCTTTTTCCTTTTATTTCTTTGTCTGTTTTCTAACCACGAAAAGAGCTTTTATAAGTTCCTTAAAAGCAATAACAAATTAGTGCTGTGTGAATGTAAGCATTAATTTTGAATGATTATTAAGTTTTAAATCTTCTTTTGATTTTTAATGGGATCTTAATTAAGATCCCTTTTTTTCATTTTTCGTCTGCTGATTTATTCGAGCTTTTTGCTTTGCTTTTTTTTGCTTTGCAAGAAAAGTTTTTAATTACTATAGCAACTGTCTACATTGAAGGAAATAATTTTTCCCCGACAACATAAAATAAAGAAAAAAAACTTTTAAAAGGAACAGATCAACAGTTCTACTAATTGGATGTAATTATGATTATTTTCAGAATAATCGGAGGAAGAGTAAGGAAACTATTTAAATTGCATTATTACAGTGTGCTTTTCCGGTAGTTAATGCTTCAAACAATGAGAAGATTAAATTTTTGATGCAAAACTGCAGTTTATGGAAATTCATTGTTTAAATTGCATAATGATAAAGAACAAAGGATTTAGGATCTTAGTAGGTTATCGCTAAATATGATGTTAATAAGCGAAAAAGAATGGCCTTAAATTTAAGACAAACACGTTTTAAAAAAAATCAAAATCAGCACATGAAAAAAACATCATTTGAAAACAAAAATAACTCCATCATCACTTTTAATGAAGACATTTAACGAGAGAAACAACAAGAATAGAAGAAGGAGAAAAAATTTACGAAAATTAATGACATTTTTTTATCATTTCTTTTTTCAGTGTTGCAAACCCGAGCGGCACAAAGGCTCCATTTGCCTTCCATATGGAAGCTATACGGAGCCTCCATGTTCCACCCTCCATTTGAAAATCTTCCGAAAACCTTACTATCATGGAACTTTGACGGAGCCAAAGCTCCGAGAATCCTCCGTGGGACGTGCATTTATTAACACCAAATGGAAGTCATTTGAGAGGTTTTGATGGAGGATGGAGGATCCATTTGTGGTAGTCAAACGGAGGTTTAATGGAAATATTTTTCAAAGGATTTTTGGTACGATTTTCCACGCGTTTTTCTATGTTTCGCAATTTTTATATCAAGATTTGTAGCTGTATTAGTGGACTTAATTAAAGTACACTAACACTATTGAAAAATTTACAACTTAATTTAATTAAGTCGCAACCACAGCAATTTCTAAGTCTCGATCACACGCGTGAGAAACATAAGAAATTATTAAAAATTTTCATACAAATTAAACGACACCATATAATAGTGATTTCTGCAGGCGCTTGTGAAGTATGTAATTTCATACAAAATCACAAAAATTATCCTTTTTTGCTTTTTTAAAGCTTGAAATGAAGCAATATGATTCAGTAAAGCTTTTCGACAATATTTCAATCCATTACAGTAAGATCTGACCTCTGTCTTGTAAAAATTCAAAAGCACGAGTTTTTCGGTATTTGATTTAAGAAAAAGCGGAGTTCATATGGAATCCAAATGGAATCAATATGAAGGATGAAAAAATAACCCTCCATTTACTTCCCACATAGTGGAGGTGGCTTTCATATGGATTCCATATGGAGACCACCCTCCACCTTGTGCCGCTCGGGAAAAAACATTATTCTCTATTTGCAAATTTGTGACATATTTTATGTTGGTTATATGCGTGAACAAAAAAATATGTTTGAACTATTTTGATATATTTTTGTGATATGTCACATAATTTGGCTGATATTTTTTTTGAAATCCTGGCTTTTACTTCTCATTCCTTTGTTTGACTCATAACAACAGAACAGACAATGCTACTTTATATTTACTTTACCTCCGATTTTATTTAATCTTTGTAAATGCATGCGAAGCTTGTGAAACACTTTCTCGCTTTTTCCAAATGTTTAATAATTATTTTCTGTTCATTTATTAATGGCGTTTGACAGAAACAGATATATATTTTTCTTTAACATAATAAAACTCCGCTATAATTTGCAAAATTATTTGGCTTTTTTGTTTTGTTTTTAAGAGGTGTCAATAAATAAGGTCACCCAATTGAACTTTTTTTTCTATTATATTGTACTTTTACACCAGTTTTTTTCAAACTTTTTTTCTATGTGGTAAAATTGTTGCCATTTTTATGACACTTTATTCTTTTAAACTGAATTGGAAAAGAAGTCAAATTTTCTCTTTAGAGCTTTGAAACTGCGAAGATTTCTGAAAAATGTTTTATTAGAAATTTTAAAGTTTTACATAAAAGAAGCAGTAAAAACTATCTTAAAATGAGTGCCCGGCACGTCAGTCTTCATACTACATATTTATTGACCTAAATTTATTAAAAAAATAGATTCAGTTACTTGTCAAAATTCGATTGTCGAATGAGGTTTTTTTCTTCATTTTTTATTTTAAAATAAAATATCTTCGTGACACAAATTCTGTTTTAGATAGTAGTAAATGTTTTGGACGAAAAATTGAATAAAGGAAGTTAATTTATAATGCTTTGGCTTAAAATTATCCTTAAGACTGGCATTAAATGATCGCTGTCATAGTCAATCGGTTGTAAAGAATCATCATTCATGAGATACGTGAAATATAAATAAAGATTATAGACGGTTTTGTGTGTGGCATCTGTGTATAAAGGGTTTCTTAACACTTTCATGTGATATTTTACAAGAGAAACTTGAAAAGTTCTTTTAAAACGATACTTTCTAAAAAAATCATATCATCTTTAACGATATATTTTGGGTTAAATTTGAGATTTTTTAACTCAAGAAATGTTTAATAAATATTGTTGGACATGTTTATGGTGTCTGTCAAGTTTCTCAGTGAACTTACTGATATTATATCATTCTATAAAGGTAATCATCAGCCAAGGCGTATACACTCGGGATTTTTGAGATTAATCCCAAAAAATCCCAGAAAATCCCAAAAATCCCGAAAAATCCCAAGTTTCCTACAAAAATCCCAAAAATCCCAAAAAATCCCGAAAAATCCCAGAAAATCCCGAAAAATCCCAGAAAATCAAAGCAGAAATATAACATAAACAACATTCTAATCAAAAAATAAGTTGTTAATTAAAGGAAAATTTGAAATATTTTGTTCGCGGATTAGGTAATTTTCAACTTTATGTATTTTTATCTATGCTGGTTGCAGTTCTGTATTCATTTTGATCCACTCAAATATCTATAACTTTATTCAGAATCAATATTTTGCAATCCGTTTTCGGTTATTGCTAGATTAAATCAGTACCTTTAAAATGGTGTATAAAATTTGTATGAAACTTATACTTCTTATGGAAAAGTTTTTAATGTGACCGACGCAAGCTGAAATTTAACAAAATAGCGAAAATGAAAAATTTTTGATGGGTAACCATATAAAAGTAATGTGTTCTGTCTCAGATGTGTTTTAATATAAAATATCAACGTCTACTAGGGTCATACCTTAAAAGCTACCTTTTACCTGAGATAGCAAAAAGTTTATGAAATGTAAATTTTTGAGTTTAAATAGTCATAACTATCATAAATCATCAAAAAAAACTAGAAATCAATACTTAAATTTGTTTCTAAGTGATATTTCTGGAAATGACGTTTTTGAAATTTTTCTTCGTTTTGGGTCGGTCACAAACCAGGCTCATTTTCATGACTAAGATCAAACTTAACTATCAAGTTTTATACATCATTTGAAAGGTACTGATTTAATTTATAATAAAATGAAAACTGAATTAAAAAATATTTTGTTTTGTAAGAGTACTGGTGGTTTGAGTAAAGAAAAAAACAAACAAGTCGTCAGATATCAAAAGTACCCTATATCTCGACCAATTTTGACTTTTTTGAAAAAATTTCTTCAAAGTTCATCTTTAAATAACGTTAGGCATTAGATAACTTCAAAAATATTCGACGACTCACTAAAATCACAATAAATTTATTTTGCACCTGATTA